ACTAGTTGCACTGGTGGTTGAGTAGCCGCGCTAGTTCCTCTGCATTGTCTGCATCTGGAGGGGATTGACGGCCGTAATGGGACAAACTAAGCTAGATTTAGAATGTTTTGCTGCTTGTTGAGCATTTGAACTCTGTCCAGTCGAAGACGATAGTAGTTGCCAGAAATCCCGCATCGCATCTCCATTCAGCTGGCCACTCCGTAGATTCTAATTTTAGACCCTCCAGGACATTTTCTGACATTACCGTAGCCCTGGGACGCAGTATCTTGCAAGTAGAAAACCGCGCACCCACAATCCATTCCAAATCATCATCTCAGGTGCGAATTGGGGCCTATGAGAACGGCCCCGGCACAGATCTCGGCCGGTATCCCCCTGCCTCCTGTCCTGAATTGCCATGAAAGCAGGCCTACTGGCTCTTGTTCAACAATTAAGAACGGCTCTGCCTCTACCGAGGTCTATCCCAGCCATCGGAATCGCTCGCCTACAACGCCTCACACATGATTTTATTCACGGCACATTTCTCTTTTTATCCAGAGACCTCAAATTTATTACGCCAGCAGCTAAACACCTAGGCCGGTACATGGTAGCAACACCAACGGCTGCATCGCCTCAACAGCCGTCCACATCAAATTACTTACAACAAGAAAACGATTTGCCGGACTGACGTCATACTCCGCCTAAACACAATCTTCAAACATGGCGTGCCAGAACATCCATCTAACGATGTTAAATTGACCGGAAAGCACGATTTAGAACAGTGGCGGTTCATTCGTGAAACACTTTCTTTGGATAATGTTGTGGCACTATCGCTCACCAGGATACCACTCTCACCAAATTATAGAGGATGCGGCTCTAGAATCTTAAAAATTGTGGTTCAGTCAGAGCAACAAGCAAAGGATGTTTTGGATCAGTGGCGGAGAAATCGGGAACATCTTCCTTCCGAAATTCGGTTAAAGGTCGCAAACACTTTGCATGGCTCAAATATTAAAGCAACTGAAGCAGCAAGTATACCGACGAATTTACAAAAGTGTAACTTGACTGCTGCTTTAATTGACTCTGACGTAGGTGTAAACGTGGGTTGGGAGGCACCTTGGCCGAATCAAGTCGCAAACGAGGTATCATTGACCCATCAAAAAGTCGAGTAACTGCCGACCTCCCATCGGTCGGCATTCTCCCACTCGTGACCGCCTCACCCCACTGTGGGCTCCTAGAGACCGAGAAATTGGCCTGCTTGTATACGAATGCTCAGGGTCTTTTTAACAAACTGGCTGAACTGAAAGATCGCCAAGCTTCCGGCTCGTATGATGTCATTGGTATCACCGAGACATGGTTGCACACGGGAATGACGGACGCTGAAGTTTCGCTACCCGGCATGTCGCTGATCCGGAACGACGGGCTCACAAAAGGAGGAGGGGTAATCCTGTATTACCGAAACGACTTACAGTGGGAAGACGTGGACGATTCAGACTCACAGTTCCCGGACTCTCTTTGGTGCCGGTTGCAGTTAAAAGGCAGGGACACTTGCCTTATTGTCTTGGTGTACCGCGCCCCTAACTCAACACCCGAAACCGACTACCACCTAGCGGCTGCTTTAAGGTGCAGTTTACAACAAAAGTACACTCACATTCTTATCATGGGTGATTTCAACGTACATTGTTTAGAAGCCCCTGCCACGATCGGAGAATAATTCAAAACCGATCTACAAGATCTAGTAACTACTGTTCCTCTTTACAACCACATCACTTTGCCCATTCGGTTCAGAACTGGTAACATGCCATCTGTGCTGGATCTTGTGCTTACCAACGAGGAGCATATAATTGATGCGTTGCTTTTAGACTGCCCGTTGGGTCACGGTGACCACGCAGTCATCAGTTTCAACTTCGTCTGTTACGCAGAATATCTGAATGATAAGGATGAGACTGCGAACCATCACAAGGTACGACCGCTTTGCTCAGCTCGTCAGCGCCACAACTTGGTCTTTCCTCGAAGAAGAACCTCCGGAAGTCGCCTGGCTCGAGTTCGTTAAAAAATGCAGTCAGCTGATTGCACAGGCTTCAGAGATAAAAACTTACAATAAGTGCAAATCAGTTTCTTTTGTTAGGAGCAGAACTCGAAAATGGATGGCAGTACGCAACGCAGCATGGTGAGTGTACCGAGAAGCTCCACCACCAGAAACTTGGGACAACTACGTAGCCCAACGTAACCACTGCACCCAACTGTTAAGAGAAGACAAAGCCGCCTATAAACAGAACATTGCAAAAACCTTCATTTCTAACCACAAACTGCTGTACAAGCACGTTAATAGCCTACGAAAGGTGAGGCAAGGATTTCCTCCACTCAAAACGGCTGATGGCCCAACAAGCACGTCTATGGAAGCTGCAAACGCGCTGCAGATGCAACACGCCCCCACGTTTCAAAGAGTCTTGCCACCAAGCGATCTACCAAGCTTTGTCTTCTGCTCACCAAGACTAACCCACGTCAGTTTTACCGCAGAGGCTGTATTGCAAAAGCTGACTTCTCTACGTAAACACAGCTCGCCGGGTGTCGACACCACTCGTCCAGAGGCATTGGGAGCAGTAGCAAGCCAACTGGCAGGACCTTTAGCCCAGTTTTTTCAGCGCTGCTTAGACCAGAACCAAGTTCCCGCCATGTGGAAGCTTGGAATAATAACCCCGATTCACAAAGGTCGAATCAGAGCTGATCCCTCCAACTACCGCCCAGTATCCCTTCTTCCTATACTCTCCAAGGTCATGGAATCCATAGTTGCCGATGCGCTGGTATGCTATCTGAAAAACTGCAACCTCATCACTCGTGAACAGCACGGTTTCCGTCGGCAGCGGTCATGTACAACGAATTTACTAATTGAACGCAATAGTTGGGCCGAGGCAGCTGACGCTGGAGAAGGTGTTGATGTGATCTACCTGGATTTTTCCAAGGCTTTTGATCGTTTAGACCATCGGATGCTACTAAACAAGCTGCAACATTACGGGATCGGAGACCCTCTTTTAAGCTGGATCGCCAACTTTCTACTTCAACGGCAATTAATGGTCAGCGTTAGGAGCTTTTTATCGGACCCCATACAAGTTGAGTGTGGTGTGCCGCAAGGCTCAGTTCTAGGTCCACGTTTGTTTTTGGTGTTTATTAATGATCCTGCACAAGGAATCGGTTCAAACTTCTTAATGCTTGCCGACGATATCAAGATCTGGCGCAGGATCCAGGCGAACGCCGAACAACATGTGCTTCAGAGTGATTTAGATACGGTGTATCAATGGTCGACCCAAAACTTATTGCATTTCAACGTCAGTAAATGCAAGGTGCCTTCCATCCGACATCAGAGCAGCTACTCATACCGACTCGGAACGAATATACTACAACAATCAACTCTCGAACATGACTTGGGTTGCTCCAGGCAATCCGAAAAGGCCTCGAAGACCGGGAAGCAACACGTGGGGCTGTTGCGACGGGCGTTTAGACAAATAAACAGCTCCATATTTCGACAAATGCTCAGTGCGTATGTTCGCCCCCATGTCGAATACGCAATTCAAGCCTAGCATCCATGGCTGAAACACGACCTTAATGCACTGGAGCAGCCACAACGCCGGGCATCTAAGAACGTAATTGGAATGCGCAATCTTTCCCACCAGGAGAGGCTGCAACGACTGGGATTGTTCAGCGGAAGCTATCGCAGATTACGAGGCGACCTGATTATGGCATACCTGATTCTGCGAGACCCACATCATGTGTGCCGCTCTTTACTGCAACTCAGCAGCAATACAAAACTGAGGGGCCACTCATTAAAACTCGCAGAACAATACAGTCGTCTGGAGTGCCGCAGAAATTTCTTTTCCATTCGTGTCTGTCACCCGTGGAATGCTCTCCCAGAATCGGTCGTCTCTGCACCGACACTACCAGTATTTAAAAGACGGTTAGACGAAGCACTCATCCACGTACACTTTGTTACTTAACACTACGTCTCCATCCTTCACCTGGAGTTTACCATGGAATTATTTGTTGTTAACTGTGGGCACTGGGAATCTAAGAGGATAGCAGGACTGCAGCGAAACAAACGATAAGTCCTTATTTTCATATTTAAAGTATTAACTACTTTACTATCCTTATCATCATTATTGTTACGTTGATATCCCACCAACTATCCAACGGGACTTGTAAAGCAACGCTTCTTAACCCGTATAAATTCATTGTTCATTGTCCTGCATCACTGTGGCTTATGTTTGCGCTCTTCTTTCGCAAGCGTAGGCTTAGGTCAACACCTAGCGTACCATGGCCGCAACGTAATGGGTCTTTTAGCAGGTACTACATCATGTTGCGTTCTTGATATTGCCATCGTGGTATCGCCTGGGCGCTTGGATGCTGAGATGGCACGTCTTAGGTTTCTGGAAAAACGAGAGATTTGTGATATGAATGAAATCCTTTGTAAAGTGTTGTAGACGAGTGCTTCTGATGGCTGGGTAGACCTCGGTAGTGAATGGTTTCATAAGCTCAAGAGCAGCTAAGTGAACCCACTTATGCAGTGGGAACAAGCGACCTACGCATGTAACTTTTGCGTAGCAGTTTGTTTTAGAAATATTGGATATAATGAGTACTGATTAAAGTAATGCCGATAATCAACAAATACACAAGAAGAAACAACATATTCCAGATTCACGCCTCTAGATTCGCTCCCGTTTAAGGAACTTGTCATCTCCTCTAAGGGTGCTTGATGAACCATAGAGATTCATAGACGTGTGTAGTCCATCATAGCAAAACACACAGATGCCACAACGGGGATTCGAGAAGATGAGGCTAGAAGCAGTGAACATCGGAACGGCAACCGACGGAGGAAACAGACAGGACTGTAGGACGGAGCACGGTGGAAATAGACTAAACTAAGCGCGTCCTTGGTATGGTGCGCACGAAAGAAAGGATACACTTTTTGACTCAACTGGTTATTATTTGCGCATTCAAGTACAAACGCATTGAATAATTCTTCTCTCTTTCAGACTCACGTACCTTACAGGGACTCAAAGTTAACACGAATTTTGCAGCAGTCACTGGGAGGAAATTCAAAAACAACTATTATTATCGCCGCGTCACCAGCAGCTTCCAATGAAGTGAGTGACTGCTTTAATACCAATTGCAACCGATCATAGGCCCAAGCAGGAATATTTCAGCTTAAATTTGCAGGGCATTTGTTGACTCTCGAGCCCTGGCGTCATGAGCAGCACTCTAAAGAGTCTCTTAATGAAAAATAACGGTGTTGCGGCTTGGTGCGTTCGTTACTTGCTACTGGGGAGATGGGCCTATGTTCGGATAGAGACATGCGTCGCGGATGACAAACTATTGAAATCAGAGCACCTCAGATTACTTGATCAACAGACAGGTTGGGTTACACTTTCTCTTCATACAATCTGTCGTTTGTTATCCACATGTAAAGGCCGGAACCCCTAGCATTTCAAAATCTCTGGTTATTGCATTCTAAGAAGTGCACTTATTCCTTGGAAACGGATGGAGAACGTCGGGTAAAGCGTCTACACCCGTCTCTTCTTTCATCCATATGTACCAATTGTACGAAGCATCATATCATGTGATGTTCATCTTCATCAGTATTAATATTAAACTTCTTACTTACTGTGAAGTCGATTACACTTAGCCGAGGGCACTGGAAGTAGCAACAACAAAGCTGACAGACTCCTTATCGTGATTTCAAAAGTGATTGGACGAAAAGGTAGTGCCAACGTTATGATTACTACGCATTCAAAAGCAGCAGCTATGCAGAACCTACAAAGTACCGTCCGGTGCCCTCAAAGATGATGGAAGCCATCATCATTCAGGCTTTAGTAGAGCAATTGGCATGCTATAACATCATGAGATCGAAGCAGCTAGACTTCTGTTAAGCCTGCTTTTACACAATCAACCTTCTGAGTTTACGTGGTAGTTGTACAGAAACGTCTGGGGGACAGAAATCGATGTCGATTACCTCCACTCTTCCAGAGCCTAAGGCAGTCTGACTCACCACATCCTTCTTCACAATCTCCATAGCTACGAAACTGGAATCCTGTGCCTGGATGAGGCGGAATTTCCTGTGGCAACGACGATAACATTTTGGATTTTGGATTGTGTTGTCTGACCTGATTCGTGTCTAGTGCGAGGTCTAGCGTTGTTGATGTGTCTATTCCTCGCGTTCATCATTGATCTTATGCATGTGCTCACCTTAAATTTCTTGGTTTATGTTGAGGAGGTTTAGCTTCTGCAGGCGATTGACGACCATTGGAATTACGAAGCGCCAGCGAAACCTAGACGGTAATTATGACTGACTACTAGTTTATCTGCGCAGTTCAATTAGTCTACATATAAGACAGTCCACACTGGTTACTATCCGAACGGTATATAGAAGCTTAGGCCATTTCCTGTATGCTAATACAGGATGATCTCGGCTGCAAATAGCAATCTGAATAACAAATACGGTAAATATAGAACAAGAAGATGTAGGCATTTTTCACTCACTTGGACTTCGAGCGAGTGCACACATGGTATCTCGTCACTAATTCTAGCGCACTTTAATATAACACGAATGCGAAATGCCCTATTTAGCAGAAATAGTTCGTTGAACCGCACATCTCAAAAAATGGACATGTACCGACCTGTTGAACTCCGACGCCGATTTCGCGATGACCATAACCTTCAGCAAACTGTTCCAATATTCCTCCAAATCCTAAGAACACGAGGTGCAAGCGGAACTACTTAACGTGTGACATAGCTATTAGGTGCATCCGTCCCGACCAATGAGACATCCACTCATCATCGCAATCCCTGTTGAAGGTTGTATGTTGCGGGTTTCCTTCTTCGTCTACTGGTTGTATGATGTGCACTACTTGTGCGGCCGTTCCTCGCGTGCATGCAACTGTGATTTTAAAGTGTTGTTCTCCTTTGGGGGACTCATTACGACCTGCTGTTGGCTGCTTGCCGTTTCACATCTTGGCACTTCCAGGCTACTGATAACTGGTGCAGTAGTGTCTGCCTTTAGTCCACCCCAGCTTAAAGCCCGACTACAGCCTTGCTCCAAGACTATAACCATATCCTGGTGAACTTTTCATTCCAAAGTTAGTGAACCTATTTTGGAGCATGGTCATCGTTGCTAGCCAACCAGTTTTCCTTTGAGATATTCCACTCCTGAAACACTTCCCCTCTTATGTTCAGAACTGTGCGCCACGCTACACAGAAATCCTTTGTGCATTATGAACAGGCACCTTTGTAGATGAATTGGTCTCAAACGCAAAGTAATTTTGCTTTTGTTGACTTGTGTCTCCAATGATCAGTGACGCATCGTTCTCACCAATTTCTGGTCGACAGCGCAACTGACAAAGTTTTAGCTCAGACTTCTGTTTCCTGACGTGGTCAAAAGCGTTTCTTCGTATCTCTGTGATTAGAATGATTGGTACTTTGTCTATATATCTAAAGTCCGTCGGTGATAGGATATTTCGGAAGGTGACGAGCTGGGCAGGGTTTTCACATGTTTAGATAACTACTGTCCGTTTAGGTTAACTGTGCGCGCATTGGGTATGCTCCTGCACTAGCTAACTAACCACGTCCCATCTCCCCGGAACTTACAACTAAGATCGGTGAACGATGTGTCGTGAAGTCATTGATTATTACACTTCGCACTGTCCAAAATTATTTTGTTCGCAGGATTGCGGTCCAGGGAGTTTGCGTTATCTGCTTACAAGCACATTTTCTTTTGAGGTCCAGGGGAATGACATCATCATTGTTGTCTGTTGCTAGAATGCTTACATGGTTGATATCCAGTTGCATTGCCGTATTTCGTATCTCACGTAATGCCGTTTGGTTCGGGCCGAACCGCTGTGGAGCTGGTGTCAAACTAACCCCTTCTAACCAGTCCTACACGTTGTCAATTAAATAAATATTTAGTTTCCTACAGTAAACCGTTTGCTTTTGCTCCCTTGGGGTGTATATATAGCAACTGGTCATGTATGTCATGGTTTAAAGCAAACATATCTCAATATGGCTTTATAGTCCGGTTTCATGAACCGAGGACAACGTGAATGATTTAGTTTGACACGCCTAATCAATCTTATTTGCGTAGCTTGCAAATTCAGCCAGCGATCTTATTATGCAGTGTTTTTTTCACTTCATAGCGGCTAAATGACTCCTCTCACGATAACTGTGGGCATAATGGTTAGCAGTAAAATACACGATACAGATTACTTCTTTGGTGCTATCAGAAAAGTTCAACCTACCTGATTGCATTAGCGGACCGTATGGTTTAATGGACGCTCTTGTCTTCAGCTTGATATGAGAAGACAGTGTTGCCATTCTGTGGGCACAAACCGATGCTGTTTAAGTAGACTTTTCAAAAGCCTTCCATCGCCTGTTTCATCGTATGCTGCTTTACAAATTTCAGGACTAAGGTGCTAGCGATCCAGTGTTGGGATGGACTGGTCACTTTCTCCGCGAACGGTTGCAAGAAATCAGAGTCCGAACATCTTTGTCTGATCCGATGCGAGTGGAATGCGGCTTAACGCACGGTTAGGTTGCTATCCTTGCGTACACACAACTCTCTTAGAGCGGATATGCTTCACTTCAAGGCACGGCGGGTGGCAGCTATTCACTTGGACGAACCACTAGCTGGATTCTTTCAGTGTTGTTTGGACGAGAACATACTTCCTTCAAAATGGAAACCTGTTACTATCAGCTCTATTCACCAGGGAGGACGTCGATCTGAGCCTGCCAATTACCGTATGATAACGCTTCTCCCTATGCTCTCCAACATCAAGGAAGTGATTATTACCGATGCCATGATAGGCTACCTGGAAGCTATGAAATCATTGTGCCGGTATCGTCAACATCGATCATGTACCACGAACCTGCTGATAGCACGCGACAACTGGGCTGAAGCAGTCTACGAGTGGAAAGGAGAAGATGTTATCTACTTGGACTTTTCAAACGCGTTCGATCGCTTGGATCGTCGTATGCTGCTTCACAAGCTTCAGCACTATGGCATCGGAGTTTCAGTATTAAGATGGATCTGCAATGTTTTCCGCAAACTGCAATTGGAAGTTAACGTTCGAACATCTCTGTCCGACACAATTCCAGTAGAGAGCGGCGTACCACAAGGGTCTTGCCTCTTCCTCATGTTCATTAACGGTATAACGAGTTATCCCTACAGAATTGTTACGCTTTGCAAGCAACTTTAAACTTTGGCGGACAATCAAAAGATTGGACGACCACGATAACCGGCAGCGCGACCTCGATGCGGTATGGCATTGGTCGGTGAGGAACGCACCGCCATTCAGTTTGGACAAGTACGGTGTTGTCTACGTCCACCATCCACGTCTACATCTATCGGTCTGTAGCGTATAATTTGAAGACCACCTCTCAGGAAAGTGACCTCGGTGTGCTGGTAAAGGACCACCTCGGTTGTTCCAGACAGTCCAAGTTCGTTTTAAAAAGTGGTAACCAACATGTCGCTCACTTGCAGTGCGCATCAGGGAGTTCGAATTCGCCCACATTTCTCTGATGTTTAGTGTCTACGTGCGTCCCGACGTTGAATACGCTATCTAGGCTTGACAAAAGTGTCTAAAGTGTGACGCACAGCGTTCAAGGCGGCGCAACATCAAGCAAGTAAAAATATCAAGGAATTGCGCTACCTTCCCTACCAGAAATGAATGAAGAAACCTGGAGTGTTCAGTGCACGCTACCGGCGGCTACTTGGAGACCTCACAGTAGTATACGAAATCCTGACGGACTCCAGTCACTTATGTTGCTACTTTTTGCAACTCAGCTTGAACGCCAGTCTCAAAGACAATAGCCTGAAACTGCGTCAACAATGCAGTCATTTAAATTGTCGACGAACTTATTGCTCCTTCCGGGTCTACCAAGCCTGGAACCATCTTCTAAACTGTGTTGTATACGTTAAGACCATAGCCCCTCTCAAAAACAGTTGCTTGTCGCATTGAGTTCCCTACACTTGGTCCTATGAATGGATATTCTGGAATATATTCAAGCTGGCTAGCTTCTTTAGAATTAGAACCCACAGGGACGCACGCAAATCTATGCAGAGGAGTGCACAATCCTATAGTTATCTGCATTAACGCTAATAACTTGTTACTCTGTCTTACGTGGCACTGGTTTTAATATGCTGTTACAAGGTCGCGTCACCTATACGCAATTTATTTCGTCCGCATGTGTAGTCCCCGGATTTGCAACCGTTTCTCTTACTAGCTTACGGGAACTGCATACCAGACATTTTTTACTCGTCATAGAACGTTGTTCAGACCATTTTTCCAACAGGTAATTTGAATGTCCACCGCATAGGTGATTGTGGTATTCTTATCGCAAGCTCCAGTTGCATCTGCTTTTGGTTTGGGATCAATGTGTTGTATGCATTCCACTACCTTTCTTATTAACACATCACCACAATGTGATAGTTGAAAAGTTGAATATGAGCCGCTTCCTTTTTCTTCTGACTAGGCCGAAACAAGGTCTACCCTGATTTTCGGTGTCCGGGCGAAGAATATTAAGAACCAAGTGGTTCCGAACACTCAGCTAACTTCTGAGGAATGGCGACGGCTCTATGAACGAGAGTTAGATCGTAGCAGACAGTTGTACTCCGCACTGACCAATTTGGATGCAGAAGTGCGCAGATGGCGGAATGGTGAGTAACTCCGTAAAGATGTAAAGATTCTGGGAAGCTGTTCCACACACACACACACACACACAGGTTGGTATTGAATGCATTAATTTTCGCCCATTGTATGATGGCGTCTTCTGGGAAAACTATAATTTTAATTGTTCGAACGGATTCCCTGCAATCGTCTGCCTGTCTACAGTTGGAAGAAGGGGTTGCATAAATACTCATAGCTCATCCATTAATAAGAAGTTTTGAGCTAGGATCGAAAAGTACGGACAGTAGATAGATGCAAACTCAGAATTGGGACCAGATGAAACTATCTTCTTCACGATCAGCCTCCTGAGTTGATCACTCCCTTCTTTTCCATCTTCATTGTGATCACGTCCAGCGATAAAAACATCCCGCAATGATGCCTTCGCTTGCCATATACCTGTTACGGACCTCTTCTTGTTTGGCGTCATCATTTAGACAATTTCCACTTATGCAATGTCAGAAATCCCACACAGCTAGTCAGTGTGTCTGAAGCGTATACGGAGTTTAATAATTCACTAACGTACTTCTTATGACAAGGGTTTGCCTCTCCGCATAATATTTATGTTAGTTGCTGATGTGTGACCCATTTATCAGATATTATGGTCTACAAATTAGCCTCATCATCAATATACACCTTAGCTACTGGCGCGAAACATCCTAGTTGTTGTACCGCAATACAATTCTGTCAGAGGGCGTTAAAAAGAGAATGAAAGGAAATAACAACAAAAGCGATGCAACAAAAATTATTAGTATGCTTTGTTTTATGTTATGCATTTAAATCTAAGTCATGGTTGGAGAGGGCTTATAACCGGTATGGGGCGGGTTAAAGTAGCTCGCAACGGTAACACCACTGAGGCCAAGCTCTTCGGCATGTCAACAAATGTCTCCAATCAAACGTGCTCATTTTTCGGCTGCAAACGGGAAGTCCAGATGCTGCAACCGAAGCCGATTCCGAAGTGAAAACGTTCATCCCCTTTGGCCAAGTCGTTGGGGGCCTCCCCTCCTTACAACCGCACCAAGGTCGCGTAAACGACACACGTAGCGGGAGTCGGTATGCAGGCATGAGTAAGACATGGCTCAGGCACCGGAGATTAGTATGCGAAAAATGTTTATAAGCGATTCTTTTCTTCTTCCTAGGCCATAAACGAGACACTGAATACGCTCATCGTTCTCGTGTTGTTCCCACCATATGTGAGCTAAACTAGAAGGCACCGGTGGTCAAACCCAACTAGCCTCTTTACGTCCGTCTCTCTGATGGGCCAGGTTTCATCAGAGCATAGTTGAGTTGAACCTACGGCTGCATTGTAGACTCTACTATTCAGAGTGAGAGTGATGTCCCGCCGATGCCATAGGTGGTGAGACTGAGCAAATGCGCCCAGAGTCTTTGCTATACGACTTGTCATTTCATCGTCCGTTCTACAGGCGCTGAGACAGCTGATCAGGTAGTTGAATTCTTGAGCGACTTTTGGGTGATCCCCAATAAATAGGTGGTTTCGGCCGAGCTTGGAGGAAAGCTTTGCATTTGGACCGTGCAAAGTTGGGTCAGAGACTGTTGCCAGCCAGTGCTACTTTTTACCTTGCTGCTTGGCATGTTTGTGCTCTGTCACTGATTAGGGCAATTTCATCTGTATGCTCCAAGTCAAGAAGTCGCTTACCGGGAAGCAGCTCCACACATCGCAGGTGGAGTCCAGTGAACGCCGTTGTCATGGCTTCATCAATGGCGAAATTAGCGTCACGGTGACAGCGGGTAACCTTGTCTAACACAGGTGGAGATGTTAAAGGTGGTGACATCTTGTCGTAACGCATCACTTTGTCCCAACTGTGCGCGTCCAGCATTGTTATGACATCGGCATATTAATCGGGCAAACCTTCTATGAGAGGACAGTCTCAAATAACACATCAATCCACTGAATCGAAGACACGTTCGATGTCAAGGTATACGATACCGGTGGGCTGCCAACATATGTGACTTGCTCCAACAATTGACGTAAAGAGAAAAAGTGATCAACACAGCCTCGATTTCGATGAAACACAGCCTGCTCTTTATCAAGCTGGCTTTCATGAGTGCCAGTTAGTCTATGAAGAACAACTTACCGGATAAGACATTTGAGATCAGGCTGCTTTATGTATAGTTGGTGCATTATGAAAGTTGGATCCTTGTAACTCTTGACTATAACGGATCGGCTTCAGTCAGCTGGCACAGTTTCCCGCTCCCACACTCTCCACAATAGATATTGCAAAACCTCAACGAAACCAATTCCCCCCGAACTCTGGGTAGCAACAGAGCAAGTTTACCTGATCGCACGGCCTTATTCAATTCCAGAAGCCTGATCTCCCGTTCGACCTCTTGCGAGAGGGCGGATCCATTGGGACGGTCTAGAGAGCAGGTTGATCACTGACCGGAAGTAAACCTAGTAGTTCCGCCAGATTTAATTGCGTTTCACAGTAGTTGGCACAAAACTTTAAACTTTATGTGAGGTTGTGAATAAGCTTTACCCTCTCGTCGCATATAGTCACTATAACACCAAGTCTACTGCTGTCCATTTCCCGTTGGCGACTGAAGGACTTCCGTGGGTTACCAATTAAAGTGGCTGTCTCTATCTCCGATGCACAGTGAGACCACCATGCTTCGCGGTCTCTCTTCAGGTTTGCACGCAGTGTTGACCTTAGGTTTATGAGAGTCTCGTTGTCTTCTCTTCCAGGAATGTGTTGACGAAAATGCAGTACGTTTAGCGAATGCGGATAGACCCATTGTCTAGGTTGGCAATTCCATTTGTCACATGAAGGTACATCTACTGCCAATAACGTCTGACGAAATTGCAACCAGCCACCTACCGCTGTGTTCAGTGTGCGTATACTCAGTTCGGATGCGAACGTACTTTTATACGCCTTCAGAACATCTGACTTCGCCGGTTGGCAAGTATCTATGCCTTCAGACCGTCATTGCGGATGTCCACCGAAACGCACCTGTATATCTGCACACACAAGTGCGCAGTCGGAGTGCACGCTTGTGCTCCAAATCGAGCAACCTTTTTGGATACAGCCTCTCCAACGGTAAATGATCGTGAAGTGGTCGACCTGTGTCTAAGGCTGGTCCGAGGCTAGTGGATGCCATAACATCCTTTTGCAGGTGATGTGTCTAAACTTAGTAATCGCGAGAAAGAGATGAGCGTCTTCACAAAGGTCTGGCAACCGCGCACCATTATCATTACTGGACCATACACCAGGTTACCCGCCCAAAGGAAGCTCATCATTGTACAGTTTTCAAGCACTGCAGTATCGGTGCTTTTTCTATGACGAAGATACTCGTTCTATTAGCGATATAAATCATCTTTCACAGAGTCAGCATTAAAGTTTTTTGAAGCATAGACAGCAATGAGAGAGAATTATCTATCGTCCATGATCGACTTGGCAGCTTTTAACTAGCCAATCAGTCGAATGGCCCCCGTTCGGCTGCGGATTGGGATCCAGTTAACCACTGCAGCTTTAACCGAAGGGGCTCAGAACAATGTCCACACTGGTTTGACTGGCATTCGAAGCTGCACCATCTCCAGATAGAAGCAGTGAAAATGTACCGCCAGTGTCACCTGAAGGTGATTGTAGAGTGAGCACAAGTCTCGAGTCTTGTAGGCGGGTTTCCGATATCCAGCCTCTATCGATCAGTGGATTATCTTGTGTTCGGACAAGTGTTGCTTGTTGGCCGAACTGTAGCAAGGCGCGCACGTTGAGGCACTTCAGTCTTAACGAGGATGGAGAGCTGTAGTTGGAAACGGATAAACTGATGTAGTTCGCTTGGCTGGATATGAACTTGTCGACAGGTGATGGTGTTGGTCAGGCCATCGCTGCGTCATCACAGTGGAACTCCGCGGTGTAGTGTATCTTAGTTAGGATATGGTATACCACTGCTGCTTGCTTTTTATTCCTGTGCCACCTTTATAATGCGGTGCGAACAGTCCTGTCTCGACAGTTTTCTTACCGGGCTAAAGAATCGGATGCATGAGAGCATCCGGGATAACGCACTCTGGGCAGCATTTGTGCTGTAACATCCATCAACAGTAAACGGACGCATATATTCTCGTAAGCGTATTCCGACGAAAAGTTGGATTGCATTATGGTATCTTAATCCATGACTTATTCTCACTTCGTTCAAGGTGAAACCATTCCCCGGGAAAAGTGGTTCACGGAAGACCAATACGGGAAGTCGTTTTATGAACTTGCCAATGAGTTATCCGAAATCTGTACAGCTGCATCTGCCAGCGAGACATTATTTGCGGGGGGCGCTACTGATCCCTGTTTTTCCAGCGCTGGAGTAATTCCTCTCAGTGATTCTGCCAGGTTGGTAAGTTGCAGTAGCCTTTTCGGTTCAGCTTCGAAAAAATTTGCTTACCCTTGTTTTAGTTGAATCCACTTACCTCCTTCGTTATTCTTCTCAGCAAACTGAAGTGAACAGTATGCCTTCTGATTCCGCACAGTTCTAAGCTGAGATGAACTAGAAGCATGTGTAATCAGTCTGGCTACCTAATCATCTTCCTCGCGAACACTTACTTGAAATGTTTGCCAGTATCAGCTCTGCATTTGACGGTGGTTTGTATTCTAATCATTTATAGTTACCAACTGCTTGTGAAACATGTACGCTATCCATTTCAACAGCGTTTTCGACTGAATCTCCTAAGCTCTTGCTGCGGTCTACATACAAGCTACCGACATTAAAAACGTTGCTTCAATCGGGTTGGTTGTTCTATTCGTTTAACACTGACAGTTGTCTTTCGATAATTGTATTGTTACCCCCACCATCCTGTGGGAGTTGTCAAACAACTGCTTTTTTACCCGGCATAAATCATTGTACATTGTGCATTTAGCTGCGAAATACTTTTACGATTTGATTCTCGCCATTCCATTTGTATAGTAATTGTGGTTGACATATTCGTCGCCCGGACACTGGCTTGTTTTATGTCAAACCGTAGTTTTCAATTCGGATGCGGTCCTTCCATATGGTTTATTGATATACGGGGTAGACATCGATGCGCACATTGATTGAATGCTTGGTAGTGGATCAGGCTCCGAGGAACCCGATACCTTACTGCATTTCTTCCAGAGTCTTTATCTCTGTGTTGTCTGACACAGCAACACAAGTAAGAATTGAACAACTAATACGAGTGACCTTTATAAGTGCACCACGGAACAAATCATGGGAGCAAGAACCGTTGTCTAGCACTTTTTGTTGAGATGCGCTGTCATCGGCATACTGACTTTGTTGATATGAATCAGCGCTCCTCCCTACCATAATACGCGCCTTCAATCAATCAGTAGGTGGCATGGCTCGTTGATTAAGTAGTTGATAAACTTGATAGAGGCTCATTCAGCCGTTGAGCGACAAGAAATTTTACAGCTCCTACCGGATGCAACTCACAGCATGCTTCCGCCGGAAAAACGAATGACAGTTAAACTGCGCTTTACAGAAGTGGTTCATATTTTGAGTTGGGTGCATCGTTCTCACTGAACAAGCACATGAATAATTGCTGACCAGTGGTTCCTTGGTTGTTACATGCAAGAGATTCAGGCGGTACCCGTCACAACGCGACTGGACCTTAACGTATTGCGACGGATTGCGTACCTCATTGACCCATTCAGCTATACTGGGTGATGCCTCCGGGCACCTTGAGAGCTACTCCTACCAGGTTGGTCAATGGTGAGAAGTCAGACAAACTCAATCTCCTGGTCCTCCAGATTAGGGGTTTGAAATGGGATGGCGTCTATTTCTGTAAAACTAAATCATTGCCACCTCACCGCTGCCTTGCGAACAGGCTTTTGAACCAAACGCTTTGGATGAGGACCCTAATCGTCCTCCTGTCTAGGTCTGGTGGCACTGGCAGTATCTCAGCCCACATACAACCATGACATTTTCTTCAAACATAAACTTCATCCTGCATCGGCCGTCGCGCAGATTATCAAGGGTCGCCTTATCTGCTGCATACAGCAGGGCGGATAAGCGAAAACATGCTACTGCTGGCGCCTCCTTTCTTTTCCACCTGTTTCTCTTACTCCCATCCCGACCCCCATTACCAACATTTCTTCTATAATTCCCAGCTTAATTGACAGCAACCGAACTGCCACTGGAGTAGAACCATCTGCAGCCACCATCCCACTGCATCCATCGGACGCCTATCGGCAAATGTCCCTTATAAGGCCACGCTATCCCGTTGCCATGGCGACATTCAACGTTCACATTCTAAGACAAACAGGTCAACACGATGCACTCGCGCGCACCTTGGACACACTGGGTGTTGATGTGTGTTGTGTGTCCGAAAAAAGGATCAATGACTCTAAAGGAATTATTGAATTAACTGCACTCGGCTTATCCGCTCATTATTGGTTACACGCATCCGGAGACGCCGATGCAGCACTCACGGATCAGGCTGGTGCAGGTATCATTTTCAGCTCCAACGCTGAGCCGTTGTTAGCTGAATGGATTTCGGTGAAAAGCCATTTATGTGTAGCCCATTTGATGATATCAGCTAAGGTTGATTCAGGAAGTAGTAAAAAACGCTGTTTGTTTGTGATTTCCGCTTGTGCTACCACCGACTGCAGTTCTAATGCTGTCAACGACACATTCTATTACGAGCTGAACGCGCTACTACGCAGTGCTACTAGTTCAGACATTATAGTACTTGCAGGGGATATGAACGCAAAATTAGGGCGTATGAGCTCTTCGGAAGCTCAGCTGGGTGGTAATTATGGGCTTAACTCCGAACGGACTGACAACGGTGAACGACTGCTGCAACTGTGTGCAGAGCACCAGCTGTTTCTTAGTAGCACCGCTTTGAGACACAGTGGGCGCCGAAGTGCCACTTGGCGTCCTTTTGTAGCTGACCAGCGATGGACCCAAATTGACCACATGGCCATAAGTTACAGATGGCATGGTTCCCTGCAGGATTGCCGCTCGTACTCGAGTACCTGCGTCGACTCTGATCATGCCTTGGTACGCTGTCGTTTCTCCATGAACTTTCCCGGGAAGAGCACTAAGTGTCCCCTACTGTTGGCAACGGAGAAATTGTCTCAGTCCTCGGTCAGTCAAGCCTATCAAGACGCACTGTATACCGAAATTCAGCTGTCTTGTCCTAATGACACTGAGCTTCATTGGAATAGGATCTCGGCCGCCATGCTCGACGCAGGTGCATCTGCTTGTGGCACTATCAATCGTAACCGCAACAGTCACTGGATATCCGAGAGGTCAGTGAACCTGTTGGAATATAGAAGACGCCTCCCGGCTGGCTCTGAACACAATGTGCCCAGACGGGCTATCAGGCGTGAACTAAAGCAAAGCCTACGTGCTGAGAAAGAAGCCTGGTGGACCAGTAGGGCTCAAGAAATGGAGGAAGCAGGAGCAGTAGACAGTTACCGCAAGCTCTTCCAGCTAACCCGTACCGCTCGTCCCAGAAAACCAGGCGTCGGTGAGACAATCAGAGACAATGCGGGTACATTGATACACGATAAGGAGCGCCGTATGGCTCATCGGGCGGAACGATTTCAAGATCAGTTAAGCTGGCCTCCTGCTCCCGGACCTCTTCCTACTCAGGTGGTGCAGGATGTGCCATGGACGGTTAGTTTAAAGCCTCCGTCGGAGGCCGAGGTCCGAAATGTGATCACTGACCTCTATGGTTTTCGTGCTTCTGGCCCGGATTCCCTCCCACCTGCACTATTTAAGGATGGAGGTGAGGTCTTCTGTAAAGCACTGACCTTCCTATTCAATCGTATCTGGAAGGAAGAGTGTCCCGGCTAATTAGAGCGAATCGATTATAGTGGCAATATACAAGAAGGGCAGTCGCACAGACTATTCTAACCACAGGGGTATTAGCCTTACGCCAGTTGTGACAAAATTACTGACCTCGATTATCGTACGTCGCCTCACCGTGGAACGGGAATCTCGGATTAGGGAAGAGCAGGCCGGTTTTCGCCCAGGACGTGGCTGTATAGACCATATATTCACTTTGCGGCAGGTGCTAGAGCAGCGCCACGCATACCGCAGACCGACAATAGCTGTGTTCCTCGATTTCAAGAGTGCATTCGATTTAGTCGATCGATCGATTCTGTTCGAAATATTTGCGCGTAAAGGTGTTCCCAGGAAATATGTGAACATCCTACATGCTGTATACTCGAACACTACAGGCCGCGTCATGGTCTACGGTGTCCTATCGGATAGCTTTCCGACCACAAGTGGCGTTCGTCACGGTTGTCCGATTTCCCTATTTTGTTCAATTTCGTCGTGGATTCTATCATGGTGTGTTCCCATGGGAAATTTCACGATGTAGGAGTTGAAGTTCTGCCTGGTGAAAGGTTAGTTGACCTAGTTTATGCGGACGAGATCGTCTTGCTTTTCGACGATGTTGGGGCGACCCAATCAACCCGGAATAGCCTGTCCAGATGGATCGCATTATTTGGTATGTACTTCGCACCTTCAAAGTGCAAAGTGTTGCTGCAGGGCCACTAGCCAGTTGCTGACTCCTTGACGCTTGCTAACGCGGAACTCGAGGTAGTTGATTATTTCACTTATCGTGGCAGCTGCATCAGCAATGATGGGCGCATAGAAACTGAAGTCAGCTCACGCATTGCAAAAGTCAGAGCTACCTTCTTGAACCTGTGGCATCTTTGGTGAGAGAAGGGAGTTTCCCTCTGTCTGATAGGCCTGGTATACAAGGCCACAGTGAGGGCCGTTCTGCTCTATGTTATTGAGACTTGGTCCCTTCGGTCTGAATATCTGACGCGCCTTCAAGTCTTTGATCATCGCTGTCTGCGAAGCATTGCTGGAGTCGGATGGCACCAGTGTGTCCGCAATGATGATGTGCGTAGGCGAGTACTAGGGGGTGATAATCATGCTAGCTCCCTAGAACAATAGATAGCACTGAATAAGTTGTGTTGGCTCGGGCACGTGCTACGTATGCCTGGCCACCGCTAACCTAGAAGGGCCTTGTTCAGTCTACCAGGTGTAGGATGGCGCAAGGCTCGAGGTGGACAGAAGTAGACTTGGCAGTGGGAAATGAAGTCACTGACAACTAAACTGGGTGCCGTTGTTCCGGCTCGCCTTCTGGACTGGAGCCCACGTGAATCGCCTCGTGCTTGACTCGAGACTTTACGGGGCATGGCTCGCAACCGACACCAGTGGCGCGTCTGCTGCCGTCTCCTAATCGGATTGTCTGTTTAAAGTGTGTTTGGTGCTGAGTTATCTGCGGGGTAATGGCTGATTATGACGCGTGGCAGTGAAAGCCGCAAGGAAGCTGTCTCGCCGATGCCACCTTATCTTTGCACGATAGCCAGCTGTTTGTGACGATATGTTGTCTACAAAAAGTGTAGGCGCCTTGACCCTGAATGTTTGCTTAGGGCATTAAGGTTTTCGGGTAAGTCCCCCTTCTTTCCCTATTCTTATTCTTTATTTCATAGGTCCTCATGGTTGTATGGCAGCGAAGCATCAGTTCACATGGCTGATGTACTGCTGTTGATGTTGTTGATGATGATGATGATGATGCTGTGTTGAACGGTAATCTCCGGTGGTGCACTCTCCTTGAGAAAAGGTTTTCCTAGTCAGGAGACAATATTCAAGCGCCAGCTTTGGGTTTTGGAGAACCCGGTCGACTTTAGATTAGACCTGCGCCATTTCGCTCACTATGACCACATCCGAAGTGGAGAGTTTCGGTGCTGCTCTCTCTTACTCATGCACTACCCAACCGACCGGTTACCTTCTCATTTGAACTCTTTAGGTCGAAGTAATTTGGGTGGTGAATGAAATCGCGTACATAGAGGTTCATATCTAGCACATGGATCAGTGGACTATAGTGATCCAACTGTTGGAGATTGGCTTCAAAGCATGTGGTGGCCTCATTTGAGATTGCGTGCGGTAATTAAGACACATGGTGGGTACTCCAACAACAAACAGCGGACTTACAACCGCTCGGTCAAGTGCTTCTCCCATAACCCAATGGCTTATTGATCAAGGTGTAGGTGGTCAACCACTATGTGCGGGGTTTCACTGTCATCCCAAACTTTCTCTACTTGAAGAGTCCAACTCAGGAGGAAACTGGTCGGTTGTATAGTGTAGGGGTGGAAGCGAGCAACACCAACAATTTGAGAACCCTTGACTGTTATCCCTGCAGGTGGAGTTAGACCTTGTGCATCTTATATTTGCCTGGTGATTAACACGTCCCTTCATTGTTGCGTACCCGTCCGGATTCCATATGTTTGAGCTTTGTCCTGTGAGTCATTGTCTACTAAGGGCTATCTACTGCCACTGGCGAAAGATGGCATTTTTCATTTACCACTGTAATCCTTGATCCAAATGTCCACTGACTTTTGAAGCAAATTCGCGGCAGCTGAGGTAATTCGGAAGATATACACGTGTTTCCGATGACATACTTGGTATATTTATACTCTTTTTCCCATAAATATCTCCACGCAATGAAACGAAACTAAATGACCATGTGGACCTACTGGTCCGAAAAGTAGGATCCGTTTTGATAGATGGTATTGGTAAACGAATCTAGCGCCCCATTTCCATGGTGTTTCTTCCCAGAAAATAAGACGACCGACGTCATCGGATGATACGCAGCTCGCTGAGTTGTTCCGTCTGCTGGACGAGAAAGATGACGAAATCAATCAACAATGTCAATTGGTGGCCCGATTGGAGGTACAACTTACACGGACACGTGATGACTACGCAAGAGCGAGTAGAGAGAATGATAAGCTGCAAACACTTCTACAGAAAGCTCAGGTACATGGTTATTTTTAATTCATATGAAACATTTTTCTTTCAGCTGAATCAAACAGTACGAATTTGTACTTAACGTCCCCCACTCTAACTACTCCTCAAATCCTGATTGTATTTCGTATCATCTACAAGTGTTTATCTGTAGTTTGCCTACAGAACCGTTTCCTTAGTTAGAATATCAGCAGTGAAGTAATTAACTAATGCAAACAGCTTTGGGCATTCTGTGTGTTATACGTGCTATCGACATTTCGAAGCGGTAATATTTTAGCAGCTCAAATAAAGTGGATGGCTACTTGTCTCGATGAGTCAACCAACTACGCACTCCTTGGCTCCGCCGTACATGTGAACTTAAGTGTCGGAAACAGCTGAACACGTGCCGGTCTCTTGTATTGCCGTTTCGTACACGTTTCTTCTTCTGCCGTCCGTTGAAGGTTCATGTGCCGGTAGTGGAATGCAGTGCGATAGATATGGCAAGGTGCGATTCTGTCACACTTGGAATGGTTACGTAAGGTTTAGGTATTGAACTTAATATCCGGCCTAAATTAAGTCAGGTTGATACCAAAAATAGATGGACAAATATAGAATAATTTTGGATGTTTGTAAGTAGTGTAAAGTTTGTAGAAAGTAGAAGTCACGATTAAAATTAACTTTACACTACTCACAAACATCCAAAATTAATCTACCATCGCCCATTGGACATCCGAAGAACAGGTACTTCGGTCCATTGGGAAGTGACGGGTGAGTGAGCCAATCTGCAACACCAGGACAGGTACTGTGAGTTCATTGGCAATACGTCGCGCACCAAGCACAAGTCATGTATTAAAATTTGCGCACTTAATGGTCAGCCCTCAGTAGCTCAGTGGTAGAGCAGCGGACCAGTAATTCGTGAACCGGGGTTCGGTTCCCCGTCGTGGCACATTATTGTGCGTTAATTTTAATCGTGACGTCTACTATTCTACAAAAAATATAGAATAGAATACTATATGACACCGATACTGTTACTGAGTGAGCTGATACAAAAACAAGATGTAGAATAAAATAACGACGACTTGTTAATGGTCTTCTCCATCTTCTCCACCAACTTAGACTGAAAGCTGCAAGACTATATATGGAGCTGCGTCGACAATTGTAGTATGGCCGCATACTGATGGGACCGCTCTTGAAAAACCTCAACTAGATGTGCAACCATTTTTATGACTCGTCAACTTGAGACGCCATCAATTAACATAAGCGTGTACCATAACTTGCCGATAAGTTACCTGAATGCAATCTCTATCCAAGAGTATCGGTCATAAATGACATTTCACAACTCGCTTATTTTCCCTCCAAAATTACCCTTGATCGGCACTGTTCGAACCATATTACGTACGGTAGAGGAGCGGTCATCGGAAATGAACGGTATTCACGCAAAGTTATCTCTGAAAACTCAAGCACATACAGTTTTATTTCGCGTGGTTTTACTCTACGAGCGCAATTTATCCTAGCTATGTTTATTTTAACATCTTACAGGGTAGGTTAAGCCTCACCTACCTTACCTCACTAACTTCTGTCGCACTGACCCGCTTACTGTTTTATCGCTCACACTGTGACTAGGTTACATTTCCGAATGTATCGGGTGAACAAGAATCATGTTTTAAGAAAATTTCTAATCCTCTGATCACCTTGTAGAACTCAATTTTGATATGTCCCTTCCACGATGCGTGTAATGTTCGCCGATCGAACGTTAACTGACGTGTAGCCAAATGAGTTCGAAATCAGAACAAGTTTGGATCACTATATACGCGGTACTATTACAAAACATACCGTTAACAAAATTAGACATTTGTCGAAGAAGCAATTCCCAAGTTACTATTGTCCCGTCTTAATAGACTGAAGGGTCTAAAGATCCACTTACGCGCTGACTTAGACGCGGCAGACAGAGAAAAACTCAAGTCTGCTATGATTGAACTAAAGCGATGCACGGAAGATGGAGAAACAAATCTCCGTATTGTAAATTTTCGGGTAGTTGCCCGGATTCTTCCACGAATCCGGATCAACAGGTTTCTAATGCTTCAGGCGCGCCCAGCGGTTCCTACCGCGGTCTACGCGTAGCCTTTACTAACGTGTGCAGTCTGATGAACAAGCGTGATGTGCTGTACGGCTTTGTAAGCTCTCAGCGACGAGACGTATTAGGACTTGCTGAGACATGGTTAAACTCTGAGGTAACCGCCCAAGAAGTGGAACTCACCGGCTACTCATGCTTCCGCTGTGAAAGACCATCAAATGATCGTGGTGGCGTTCTACTTTACAGAAAGTCTTCCTTGTGTGGGAGACTAGTTAACGCCTACCAAAGCGCTGATGGTCTATGTGAGCAGTTATGGTGTTCGATTCACCTCAGACGCGGCGAGTTGCTCGTGGGCGTGGTATATCGCAGTCCACTGAGCCGCTGTTTGGACTGGTTACCGCATGTCCGCAACGACATGAGTCGTCAGATGTTCCTACTCATGGGCGATTTCAAGTTGCCCCGAATACAGTGGCCTGAAGCTGAACTTCTTCCCGGCCACTGTGAAGTCGAGAGGAAGTTTTCGGAGTTTCTATTTGAAACCGGGGCCACACAGCACATCAACCAACCGACACGCATTACTGCGCGCGCGACTCCATCGTGCTTAGACCTGCTGTTGACTAGCTGTGAGCAGCGTGTGCATAACATTCAAGTCTTAGAGCCTCTGGGAGCGAGCGACCACTCGGTGATCATAGCCAGCTTGGAACTACCACTGCCGTATTCTCCCCCACTGGAGTCAGCCTTCAACTATTGGAAGGCCGACTTTAATGGCCTCATTCGAGCAGCGAGCCAGATAGACTGGTCTTTACTACAGGATTCATCTATTGAAACCTGTTGGATTATCATTAAAGTGAGAGTGAAATCGTTGTGCGCCTGATTTGTACCCCTCAAATATCGGTAAGTTGGGCCAGTCAAACCACATTGGTTCGACAAAGAGTACAACAAACTGGCCCGATGACGACGCAGACTATGGAACAAATTCGTGTTATCTGGCTGTACAATGCGTACAAGGTACTGCGAAGTTGCTGCAACAACGCGAAAACAATAAAACGCAGAAGCTTCGAAGAGGAGCTTGCAACCGCCGCAAAAGCTGCTCCCAAGAGGATCTTCGCATACGTGAAGCGGCGCCTGATGCCTGTAGCCAATGTCCTAGTGTTAGAAGGCTCAGAAGGACAGCCCCTAACCTCAAGTACAGATCGTGCGTCCGCATTGGCGGCGCACTTCACCTCCGTATTTGCAAGTGACCAGGTGTCTGTAACGAGTTCGACGAGTACCGCTCTAGCTGAACTTGACGGGACGAAACCTGCTGGGCCAGATGATATACACCCACTGATCCTCAAGTCCCTATCGGCCATCATCGCGCCTTCTGTAAGTGAACTGTTTAACAGGTCACTATCCACTGGACTGTTACCGGACGACTGGAAATGCTCAGTCGTAAAGCCGAAAGGTGGTAACCCAGGCAAAGTGGATAACTACCGGCCGACCTGCCTGACCGCTGTTTTGACAAAGGCGCTCGAGAAGATCGTGAAGAAGAGCCTTCTGCAGCTTCTCGAGTCGGAAAACCTGTTGACCTCCTCACAACATGGTTTCATGAAAGGTAGCTCGTGCATCACCAACCTACTGTTGACGAAGCACGAATGGTTACAAGCGCTGAACCAAGGCCAATGGGTCGACGTCATTTACATTGACTTCAGTAAGGCTTTTGACAAGATTAATCATGCAGCGCTCCTTGACAGGCCGAGGATGTGCGGTATTGGTAGTTCGCTGCACAAATGGATCAGAAATTTCCTTGTCGATCGAAGGTGGAAGGTCCAGGTGGACAACCATCTAACTGACTGGTATCCATCGAGCAGCGGCGTGCCCCACGGCACTGTGCCAGGGCCGATTTTGTTTCTGATCCATGTAAACGATGTGCCTCAGCTACTCCAACCACCTTGTACGTTGTTCGCAGATGAGTTGAAGGTGTGGAGAGTAATCCGCACACTCAGTGATTGTGATTTACTTCAGCAGGACTTCGACCGCCTCTCAACATGGTCTGCAGAGGTTAACCTTCCGATCTACCCTGCCAAGTCGCAATTTATGAGGTTGGGTAAGTGTGAGCACAGCCGAACGTACACAGGGGCTGGTCAACCGTTGCATTCCGCGCCTTTCGTGCGCGACCTCGGTGTGCTCTCACGCTGCGACCTAAAGTCCATTAACAACACGAACAAGCTGTACCAAAACAGCCTTCGGATGCTTCGGGCGCTCAGGAGCAGCTTCAGCACTTGGTGCGAAGAGATTGCTACTCGCCTCTTTGTCTCGATAATACGACCGATGCTAGAGTACGGCTCTCCCGCGTATTGTCCCATCACCCTGGGCGAGGTGGAAAAGCTTGAGCGGGTGCAGCATGTACCCACCAGGCTGATTCCCAACTTACGAGGTATGACATACGAAGACCGATATAAGAAACTAGGGTTGTACACCCTAGCTTATCGTCGGCTGAAGGTTGATCTCATCATGACGCACCGGATACTACATCTGAGTGATTACCCCATGTTGAGACAACTGCTTCATCTGCGCCCACCAAGCTGCCCGCGAGGACACCGGTATACATTTATCGTACCGAAGTTGAAGCGGGTCGCTCACCAACTCTGTTTCGAAGGCAGAGTGGTGAATGTCTGGAACGACCTGCCGCAGCACATAGTAGAGGCGAACTCAGTGTCGGAATTTAAGAAGCTCCTAGACAAACACTTTGCAGAGGCAAAATACAGAGAGCGGAACGATAAATAAGGAGTATATGTCCAAGAGCAACGAATGATGCAGCTTCAAAGAGATAGCTCTACTCGCTGCTTCGAACCAGTATTCAGTATTCATTTGTTCAGGATCCCCGTAGCTCACTGTCAGCAACAGAACGCAGTTAAAAGGATGGGCAGGAAATTAGCTGTGCAATCATTGTTCAAAGCTGACACCCCAGGGGACAAGC